GGTAACCTGAAGGAACGACGGCGCCGGTCACTTGACAGGTTGCGATCACCGACATGAACGGGGCAGCGAGGTGGCCGTGTTTCTATGCGGAGACAGTCGAAAAATTGGTAATTGTGCATTGTGTAATTGTATTTGTCCGTAGTGGTCATCGATTGGGCGTGGAGATCATTGTGGGCAGCTAGTCGGGGTGACAATGGACACATATATGGGTGAGACTTGTCTGAACGTTAATGACAATTGAAAATTGATCACTGGAAAAGGCGGTATCACTGTTGCGGCGATGGCCACTCGCTGGTGGTGGTGAATGTGATGATTCGTAGTAACTAGCCAAAGTGATTACTCTTAGGTAGTCATTGGGCGAGTGATCACCAGGGATAAAGTGTTGCTCACCATAGCGTTATTCACTATAACAACGAGTTTAGTGGGAAGAGTACAATGGTCATCTTATTCCTTTTTAGCCTACTGCGGAAATTTTTAAAAAACCTCTTTTTTTCTTTCTAAGAGTTACTTTTAGTATTTTTGATGTCGTAATTCCCTAAAAGTTCTCATTTTTAATTTCGGAAATAACTTTCATTTTAAAATGACATGTTAGTACTCAAAAATTAAAGAGAAAACTCTCAAAAATTAAAGTTATTGATCTCGTACTTTAACAAATTTCTCAATTAAGCCCTCGGATTTATTATCACTCAACGAAGTCCATCAACTAACCACAAATATGCAATCAGGCTTTTTAGCCGGTGGGATGCCGGTTTGCCTGTTACCCGCTGACCTGGACGCCCACATGTCCCTCCCTTACCTGGCCTTTTAAATGGTGTGGATAATCCACTTATAAACTAACTAACTAAAAGCCTAAATCTTAAAACTTAAAAAAAAACCTCAGACCTAGCCTTCCCTCTTTCCCCTCCTTCGTTCGAGCTTGTATCTGGTTCGCAAGTATGTCATGTTCATCGTCAGCAACGTAGTCAAAGAATGAAGCCGCACTATGGACTAGGAGCTTGTTGTTTATTGTTGGTGTGGATTGAAAACTCCTCTATGCATTGGACGAGAGAGTGGGAGAACTTTCTATGGGTGTCAAAAGTGGGAGGTAAGTGTATGATTTGGGTGTGTGGTTTTGATTGACACTGTTTTTTCATGTTCATTGCTTGCGAATGTGATATAATTCAGGTAGGGAGGTGCGGTTTTTTTATGGAAGGAAGACTTGGGAATCAAAGAAATTACTCCTACACAGAAGATGGAAATTGAGAGGGCTGAAGACAAGAGTGAAACCGTAGAGAAATTGAAGAAATTGGTTGAAGCACTGTCGAGGCAGATGTCACATGTACAGACTGAGCTTGGGTCTGTGAAAACTGTGATTGACAATGAAGCAAAGGTTAACAAAAAGAGTAGGAAGCTCTATGGCTTAGCTATGATTGTACTTCTGGGTTTAGTATGGAGTATGTATTTGAGGATGTAACCTTACTTTCTGATGGCAGTACTGAGAACGTGTTGGGCCTGTGATTTGTTTTTTATTTTCTTAGTTATGTATCTTGTAATGGGTTGTTATGTGCTTGTAATTGCTTTGAATGGGTTGTAATGGTACATTATTTGTTGAATTAATGAATCTGAACTTGCTTCTTATGCCTTCCTTCTTTCACAATGTAATTCATTCATCCTAATGCAGATATTCTGATTGAATGGAGTTTGACGTTGTTTGTAATGGCACATTCATGACATTCATTCAGACAGTAATGCTATTTATCCTGATGGATGTAAACTTGGGTAAACATTATATGTACAATGTACCAAAAAACCATTAAACGTGCTATTTCAGCGTCTTTGGTAACAACCACAAGATGAATACATTCCATGACAATGTTGGCTACCATTGTGATGCAAAAAACAATAACTGAGTGAGTCATACACCTCAAAACCAAATTTGGACACATTACAAGACCACCTGTACTGAAACTTGTTCATATTACGTGTCATGAATTACTGCCTACATGCAGACAACACAACAAAAAACTTTGGAGTATTACACATGCAGATTACATCACATCTAAACTAAACATCCAACATTCAGCCTCTATCACTTCATTGACCTCCCTCTCCTCCATCTCCATGGTAGCCTCCTCTAACAACTTCATTTTCATTTACCCCAGTGCCGCAAAGGCTCCCACCTACGGTGGGGTAAGGGGGGGTCAGATGTACGCAATCTTACCCCTGTACTAAAGCACAGAGAGACTGTTTCCAGATGACCCATAGTGAAAATCCTGTCCAAAATTGCATAGACTAACTGCTGCTTCATAACAAAGAAGCGCAACCAGTTTAGTGAGCCATTTTACTTTATTCCATCATAATCTCAAGCCAAAAAATAATGAATCTTTGGCTCCATTGCAAATGATGGAAAAACTATTTCTCCTATTTGTCCAGGCTGCATTTAGGCACCAAAAAAATACAAAGTTCTAAATTATACATTTGAATATGCAAACATCATACTTCAAATAATGTTGGGATAAACTTACTTCCAAAATGGTCATCCTTGTTGATTCATCAAAATAAACCCCAAGTCCCCTTTGACTACCCCCCCCCCCCCCCCCCTCTTACCTCCACCCCTCTTACCTCCCCCCCTTTACTCCCTCCCGTCTTTCCTCCTCCCCTCTTTCCTCCTCCCCTATGAATACTGCCCCCCTCCTCTGTCCCAGTTCCAACACTACCCACATGATCACCTACCACACTTTCAACACTCCCCATGTCACATCTACCCCTTTGAACACTCCTTCTTCTTCCCCTATTTGTTCTACCCCTTTGATCTCTTCCAGTTTCAGCACTCCTATTTTCCCCTTGCCTTTCTTGTGTGCTAGTTTCTTCTGTGTTGGGTATTTGCCTTTGTGAACATGATTTCTTATTGTGGCCATCCACACCACATACAGAGCATTTCATGATCCTTCTTTTTCTTGGTAGGTGGGTCCCTCATGGTGCACGAGGTTCACTTTCTTCCTTCACTCTTTTCTTCTTAGGGCGGCCACTCATTTTCTTTGGTATGGGCGGATGAATGTCTTCATGTTGGGTTCTTGGCCACAGTATTTGTCCATTTATTGGCTGCAGAGTGTATGAGTATGTCTTTTCATACAGTTCCTTGGAGTACCATGAGTCCACATAGCTTTCAGGCTCCTCACCTTTATCTAGAATGGCACAAATGGCATGTGCACAAGGAATTCCACGTAGATCCCATCTTCTGCAAGCACAGGTCCTTTTGTTGAGACTGACATTGTATTGAAATCTACTTTTTTTTAACTCATATCCATCTTCCCCATTGAAACACACATAATAAGCCAGGTCTTTGAAAGGGATCGAATGTCTCAAACATTAACATCTATACGCAAAATATAAAGTGCAGAACTAATCTCATAACACGCTTACAATAGAAATCGAAATATTAACAGGGCAGCTAGAAGAAGGTACCTTTCAGGTCTTCCTGCCACTTCAACTGAACTACACGCTTCCAATGAATGTTCCTTACAGGACTTCGAAGTACTTCGATGCAACTTCCGCCTTCGAACAACAGCCCTAACAGCCCTTCACAACACTTTGCTTGAACTCGCGCGACCTAACTATCTCCTCTAAGCATTTGCTTCATGAGTTCGTTAGTTTTGTGAATATGACGAAGGCTAGGTCTGAATTAGAAGGTTAGTCAGTTTTAAGATTTAGACTTTTAGTTAGTTAGTTTATAAGTGGATGAGCCACATCATTTAAAAGGCCGGGTAAGGGAGGGACACGTGGGCGTCCAGGTCAGCGGGTAACAGGCAAACCGGCATCCCACCAGCTAAAAAACCTGATTGCATATATGTGGTTAGTTGATGGATTTCGTTGAGTGATTAATAAGTGCGATAGATTAATTGAGAACTTTGTTAAAGTACGAGGGCCTATTTGAGAGTTTTCTCAAAATTAAAACTTATGTACATATAGCATCATAGTTAGAGAGATTTTCATGAGTAGAACCAAAATAATTGCATTTTGCTACAATAGGACATAATGTTTAAAATTTCATAAATTGAATTTATTATTTATAACTGGACAAAAAATGTTCTTTAGGGTTAGTAGTGCTGCCCACTAGACTGCCAACTCCGACGCTGATCTGCTATTAGAATGATGTAAGACGCTGAATTTCCACCACCAATCTTCTCGTCACCAACTGACCAACAAATTGATTTTGATTATGAAAAGAAAATAAAGGACACTTTTTTGAGAATAAAAGGGCAGATTTTGTATTAAGTCTAGTAACCATGCAAGACAACATCCATACAGTTATGACAGATCTGATCGTCATCCCTAGGAATAGACATAAAATCAGTCACCTCATACAAAGCAACATGATTCGTTAGACACAAAATGGACAATTTTAAGCTTAAAGCAATCGGAGCCGAAACACCGACTACCAAGCGTACTCCAAAAATCCAAAAATCCAAACTAAACCTACTCAAAAAATAAAAACAAGTACTACTGAAGGAAAAATAAAATTGAAATAAAGTCTTTTCATAATACCCTTTCTGGCATGAAGGTGGTTCTGGAGGAGGACGAGCTCTATGAATGTTTACGCACTCCAAAAGAAGATAAACAGAAACTTCTGACCTGTCGAAGCTGACCAGGACACCAAAACAACTCCCCACATTGAGAGAGACAAACCACCACGGAGCATTAGTGCCTCAGAAAGAACCGTTGCAAAACAAAATAAACACAATTAGAAAAGATGAGGACTCCAGTTGGATCATATTCCTACCAAGAATCTCCGGGAGTTGATATTAAAATATCCCCGGCCTCCACGATCAACCCTTCCTCTTCACGAACCGACGGGCAGTTCCTAGGTTTAGCCTAGGGTTTAATCCAGGTGTGTCGCTCATAAGTGATTTTAATTAAAAGGTAAAAGTTGGGTTGATACGTCTATTTATAAAAATAGAGGACACTTAAGTAAATTAAATTAATCAAAATAAAACACACTCATATTTTTGGAATATTTTTAATGAAAAGTGGAAGTATTGTCATACACTCATACTCCATATTCGGTAGAGAAGACCATAAAAATGGGAACATTTGAGGAATTTGCAGCCTTGTGTATTCCGGTTCAGCTCTTCCGGGAGAAACCTGTCGTCTGATGAATCAACGTGTGATGAATAAATGCGTAGCAATTTGCAACTACGGTTTTAATTTGTTTCTGAAGGAGAAGCATCTTTAGTTTCAGTGATTTTCGGAGGGAATCTTAGCAGCTATGGGGACGACTGCATTGATTTCAGCCATTCGTAGAACTCACGCAAAAAAAATCATCTACTTCAATCCATTGATTCGGTCTCAGCTGGACCATCTCCCTTCCAGCAAGGATGGCAAAATCCCTAGCTTTTTTACTCAGAGGAGATCGCATATAGGACATGATCATCACTGTCATCCGCACCACGATCATCATGGAAATGAAGGAGAGAAGATTTTCCGTCTCGGCCTGGCCGCCGACGTCAGTTTGGCTGCTGGAAAAGCATTTACCGGGTACGTCTGTGGAAGCACCGCAATTATTGCCGACGCTGCTCATTCCATCTCCGATGTGGTGAGGTCTCCTACGGTCCTACCTATATAAGTCATATGCAGCTAGCGTGATGGTCAGATTGTGTATCTTATGTTTCGGTTTTGTATGAGACTAATGCTGTTGCATTTTAGGTTCTGAGTGGTGTGGCGTTGCTGTCGTACAAAGCTGCAAAGGCTCCTAAGGACAAAGAACACCCATATGGTCACTTTTGATCTGTATCTACTACGCCTTACTCAGATTGATATAGTGAATTCATCGTTTTCAGTTTATCTCTTGTATCTCCTGGGCGGCTATATTAAGCTTTTATGTGTAAGAACCACCCAAATTGGTATAGGGCAATGGTGATTTGACTTGAGTTACAGATCATCATAAAGTATTTTCCCAAAATCTACAATTCAAGAGCCCCATTTCATCCTTGTTTCCTTCTGCTGATTTTTCAACCAGATGGATTGTATGATAGGAAAATGCCGCTCACCTGCTAATACTCGGTCTTCGTGGTCATTAGGTTTTTAGTGGCATTTCAGGAAAAGATTTTTTTGGTTTTTGATGTCTTTGTGTTTCAGGGCATGGTAAATTCGAGACTCTAGGTGCCCTTGGAATTTCAGGCATGCTGTTGGCAACTGGGGGAGGTATAGCATGGCATGCTTTGGATGTGTTAATGGTAGGTAGTAACTTATTATGTTGTTATTGTGTTTGATGTATTACATAAATTTGTTTAAAAAAATCGCTACCATATCTGAAACAGAGTTTAATTTAGACGCACCTCCAAAATTTATGAGAAAAAAAACCTTAATTAGGACTAAAAAGTAACCCGTTTCCTCAAATGGGATCAACATTACGTTCTCCCAAAGAAGTGTGCTTGTTCGCTCCTTGAAAAAGGTTTTTTTTGCGAGATTCAAAAAGATTTATTGATTACTTTTATTCTTTTAGGATTTAATGACCAATTTTCCAGAAGAATACAATGATGATGCTATTTGGACGTGTTACTATATTTGGTCTTATACTCTTATATGGCCTATGTTTTTCTGCATATATTAGTATGGTTATTTGAAATTTTGGTTGAAACTTTGCATATTCTTCGGGTAGGGAATGTGGTCAGCAGTGCCTGAAGTCGTTAATGTGTCACTAGCTCATCACCATGATGGTCGAGTTGGACATCATCATGGAATTGATATGGATCACCCTGTTCTTGCTTTAAATATGACTGTACTATCTATCGCTGTCAAAGAAGGGTACGTTTCATTTCAATCATCAAACAAAAAAAAAGGGTTTAGCATGAGGACCAAATGCTAAATGGTTGGTGTTTCTTATATTTGTGTGCTTGTATTTTATCCGCAGAATAGATAAATTTGAAGATTCTCATAGAGCCATAGTGATGCCATTGCATCAACAGAACTATGAAATCTTTTCATGCTTGAAGTTGTAACTTGGAAAATGATTTACTTTTTTTGTAGTAATTGGATAGAAACAGATATTTATTTTATTCTATTGTTTCTTTTGCATGCATTTTGATGTTCTATCTCATATATATAGATTGTACTGGATAACAAAGAGAGCTGGGGAGAAGACAGGAAGCGGGCTGATGAAAGCTAATGCATGGCATCATCGTGCTGATTCTGTTTCTTCACTAGTTGCTCTAATTGGAGTTGGTAATGACCTTAATAATCTTCAACTTGCTACCCATTTTGAACATTTATAATTACAGATTAGTGGGTTATCTGATTTTTCTTGTTCTATACTGTAATGATAGCAAGAAAATGTAGTTGTGGACTTCAATTGTGGTTTAGATGATAACATTAGAAACAATATGATTTTTTTATACACCGGAAAGGTTTAGGAACAATATGATGATAAAATTTTATCAAGTGACATCTGACATGTGCTTCTAATTAATTTTTTCATTGGTTTTGTGGGAAAATAAATTTGGCTACTCAACTAAGTTTAACTGTTGAAGTTGTGGTTGAATCTGCTGGGCTATTGACAAATATATATAAAAAAAATTAAATTAAGGAAATAATTTCTAAAAATGAATCTAGAAGTGTAATATTCTTTAATTTTATCTAAAAAGTTAAATCATTCACTTATTTTTTCATTATCACTTATCAGCCGATTCAGCAAGCACAGAGAAATTATTTAGTATTTGGTGAAAATGAAGGTTGATAAGATGAAAAAAGAGTTGACTAAATGGGATTTATTTGTGTGCCTTTTCATTGTAAGTTGTAACTGACTTCACAAAATGCACATTGAACTATCGGTCTGAAACCATCAGGTGGATCTTTTCTTGGAGTGAGTTTCTTGGATCCTCTTGCTGGACTTGTCGTTGCTGGTATGATCCTAAAAGCAGGACTGGAAACTGGTCACCAGAGGTATAAATACATATACGTATTGCATGTGTGTGTATTCCCCCTGTTAACTTTTACTTCCTCCACTTTCCTTTTCTGGAAGTTTACTATTGCCTGTTTCATTTTCCATTTTAGCAATTCTTTTTACTTTTTAATCTCTAAAAGAGATACATCTCTAATAGAGATAAATACCCTTAGTTTTTCATCTTCTCTTTCCAACGTTTTATACTTTCACCTTTTCTCATGTTTTTCACTATTTTAAACAATTCACTGCTCTTAATTTCCATGAAAATTCTATTGGAGCGAGTAAAGTGAACAGATTGAGTATATGTGTGTGCACGTGCATTACAATTTTCTTCTCCCCTTCTTGTAATGAGATATTAACTTATCATTTCTTTTTTGCTTTGCTTAGACAGCTCATGCTTAATCACATCTCCATCTTGATCCAGAGTGTTTCTTGCATGTAATGTTGGGGTAATGGTCATATGCAAATATCTAATAATTGTTATCTTTGTTTATAGTGTCCTGGAATTGGTTGATGCTGCCATCCCTTCTCATGTTTTGGAACCCTTTAGAAGCACAATACTGCAAGTCAATGGGGTTAAGGCACGTTATCTCTCCCCAAAAACAATGGAAACTGTTTTTCAATTTCTGATTTTGCATTTTCTTTTGGCTTCAACCTCTACATAGATTTGATTGGACTATCTTATTGATGAGTTGTTTTAGCAAACTAAGCAGTGTTTTGTGGGCTGTATATAGAGCTAGATGAGATTTTTAGTGGCTCTGGGTAATCAAATAGTATATCTGGTTAATTGCATTCTAAAAATTTCAGACACGAGGGCATCCTGAAAATGAATCATTTGCCCTAATCTTCATAAAACTTATTTACCACAGTTATCTCAACATAATTATAGTGGATCAAAGTATCAAAGATACGTGTACCACGGCAACTGACAGAATCCCTTGATTACAATATCACTTTCATCCAAAGTCTTGTTCAAGATCCAAGTTTCTTCATATTTTCATCAGTTCTCCAAAAGTCTTTAGTTTTACTCTTTTTTATTTTACATGTTCCATCCCCTTTTATCATGTAAGAAATGCCCTTTTCTTAAAGGCCTTTTCTGTTTTTGCGTACACAGGGATGCAATCACCTCAGAGGAAGGAGAGCAGGCTCATTTTTGTATCTTGATGTTAATGTTGAGGTTGGCGAATTCCACTGATTATTCTTCACTGAAATCTGTAAAATTACTGTATTCTACTTCATCTATGTGGCTAGTTGGCTGCGAAAAAATTCCACTTTAGTCCCTTACTTTCAGATTATCCACATTTAGTCCGTGACCATTATCCCCTCACCACCCCTCGTCCTTCTGGCCAAAATTCCGGCAAATTTAGTTCACTTATCAGCCTCAGAATCAGTCTTTGCATTAAATTTTATATAAGGTTGAGTTTTTCATATCAGTCTTTGCATTAAATTTGGTTTTGCATACCTAAAATTTGCATTAAATTTGTCGGAATTTTTGCCGGAAAGACGAGGGGTGGTGAGGGGATAATGGTCACGGACTAAATGTGGACAATCTGAAAGTAAGGGACTAAATGTGGAAGTGGTATAATAGTTACGGGACAAAAAGTGTAATTTTTTCAGTTGGCTACCATTGCTTAAAAACAAATACTACAGCATATAATACTAAAATATATGAACCAATTATGGGTCACATGTGTCCTTTTTAATATGTAAAAAACAAAGATATATGTATATGTGTGTGTAGATTTAATAATAATATACTAATAGTAATAATAATAATAACCATTTAACGCAAATGTAACATACACGTATTGCGAAAAATATTGAATTAGTTATTTTGTGGTTTGAAAATAATTTCTTCAAAGCTTGTCATGATTTTTATTCACGATATATCAAATAACATATTTGGCGGTGTTTAAAATTTGTGTTTTAGAAAATGTATCCTCACCTCTAGGAAAAAGTTAAGGTATATTTATACCTAATTTTTGGAGGTAATATGTACTGGAAATCAAACCTTAATGAGTAATTTTAGAAAGTGGAGTGTCTTATTAAGCCAGTAAGTTTATATTCTTTCCTCTTATGATGCAGGTGGATCCCTTTTGTAGTGTGAGTGCTGCACATGAAATTGGGGAGCTTGTACGACATGAAATTCAACGATCACACCCTCAAGTTGTTGAAGTATTTTTACACATAGGTGGCAACAACAATCATCTCATTTGTTGTTCTTTCCTTCTCATTTTGCAGTCTTTAAGTAGCTTATTTAGTATGCAGGTCCTTCAACTTCACATCTTCATCATCATCATCATAAGAACAAAGAGGAAACAGTGGAGTTGTACAACACCATGTCTTCTTTTGAGCAGCACCATACAGAGGAGCTTGCAAAGACTATTTCAAATGTCTTGTCATCAAAATTTTCAGAGGTGCACTGCATATTATCATCTTCTCCATACTGAGGAATTGCATATTTAGAGTTTATTGTTTTCCGATCTTACCATGATATATACAGGTATACAACATTAGTGGGCAAAATGCATAATGGTACCTTAATTACTTTCATTGTAGCATAATAGTATTCCAAGTACAATTGAATTTTTAGCTGATTGTTCCATTTAAGATTGTGTTAAAATAGTCCAACTCGGCTGACTGAACTCAATGTGCATTTCCCAAAAGATTTTGTGTGATTAATTAATCCAAGCTTTAATGTGATCAGCTCTGAGTCAAATACAGTGACTAGACATATCTGCTTTCCTTCTGAGTCGGTCGGATATTCTAACTTCGAGTTTGGTAATAGTGAACCCATCCTAATCAAATAGTTTTGATAGAATCTCAAATGGTGCTGTTAATTAAGACCATGAAACATTGGAACATACTTCCAATGTTGACTGGTTACATTCAATATTTGGAACACCAAAATGCTACGTAATTTGTGGTATTATATTCTCATTTTTCTTTTTTTAACTAAAAAGTTATACTAAATCTTTATCACATATTCCTTCAAAAGGAAATGAATGGTAATTTTGTGTTAAATAAAAAGAGTGTGTACAATTTGGAACATTTTTTGAATATAAACAATGTAGTATAAAAGTACGAGTTATGGGATCGAATGATACTGGTATTTCATTTTTTTTAATCTTTTTTAGAACTTCTGTTAGAATGAAGAGAAATCTTGAATTACAGAAAATAATGGTGGAGAGGATTACACGACACGTGTTGGAAGGTAAGCAGACAATTCTTCAAGTTGAAGTCTCTATGCCTGAAGAACTCGTAATCAGGTACAGATGCAGTTTTTGCTCTCTACGCTGTATTTTAATTATAAACAATAGCTGCCGCTCATCGTTTTCATTAAACCCCGCTAATTTAATTACGCAATTAATACAGGGATGCTGTGAAACTTGCTAGAGAAGCAGAGGAAATGATCAGAGAGGGAGGAGCAGGTGCTAATGTTGGACAGGTGTCCTTCCAGCTCCGTTTGGGCCGTCCTATGCCCAATGTGTAGCGGATTGACACCGCCCAATATGGCCCAATAATTAGACTGTCGAATTTTAACAGGAAATAATTCTTTAGATAGAATTAAAATAGACAAATTGTACAATTTGAATCACTATTGTTTACACTCCTGATTGAAGAAGATTTGTACTTTTAATAGGATTTTAAAATCTTATTGAGAGTTTTATTTGTACATCAATTTATATTTTAGTACTATTCAAAGCAATTTCTGTTTCAACAGTAATTAACTTGGGGCCAATTTCTGAGAAAGTAACGTTTCCACCTTTTACTTTGATTTTGACATTGAATCAATAGATTTCAACCGCTGGCGGTTTGGAATAACTTGTTAATCAACTTAACTAGTTGTAATTAGCTTTTAAGAAATAAAATGAACATTAAGAATATGAATTAAAAAATTTAACTTGATTTTAATTATTTTAATTTTAATAAAATTTGAAAAAAGTTTCAAAATTTTTATTTACATTATTTTAAATAACATTTAACACTATCATTTTTAAAATATGTATATTAACGAGGATACTCGTTAAATTCATATTCCTTTAATCCTTTTGTCCCCGTAGAAATATTTTCACTGGCTTTTTTGAAAGTATCAAATAAGTATTTCAATTTTTTTTAAAAAAAAAACAATTAATAATCTTAAATAACAAAATAATCATTAAATATTTAAAATAATACTTTTGTAACAAAATATATAAAGACCAAGCCCCTTATTATGTATCTATAAATATTCTTTTTCAAAATCTATTCAAACTTCCTTTTTAATTATTATAATTGTATCATTTTGTCGTAAAAACCTTTTAAAGGTTCTAGATACGACTATGCATTCACTTCGGATGACGAAACGAGAGTACACAAACTGAAAATGTCAAATTTGAAAGTACTCGACATTTTGACAAATTATTTTGCATAATCAACATTTTCTGATCAACCAAAAAAAAGTTTATGCTCACTATCAATAATTAATTTAATTTTTAATAATTAAAAATTATATTTTCAAATATTATATTAAAATGACTTCAAAGTTGTAAATTCCAAATTAGAATATAATTAAAATTTGACATCTTAATTAAGAGAATAAAATGAAACTGTTTCACCAGAGTTTCTTTGTTTACAAATGTCTTATTGTTTCCTTGTCTAAATGAAATTCAAAACCATGCAAGAATTTATTTGTGGTTTTTAGTTCTGGTAATGGCATAGGAAGTATATATATTTATATATATATATATACACACATGGTACGGAGTATATATATATACAGAGGATGAATCAGAAAGAACGTAGCGATAGAAATTGATAGGATCATTCCATCCGGCAACAATAATCACTCGGTGGTCACTCTTCTCTCATGCAAGAATCATCACATTCATCCTTCCTTCGGAAGTCTATATTTAAGTCAAGTATTCGACTAAATCATCCTTGCTTATGGCAATTCAAGTGAGCATATTATGAACTAATTTATAATTTCGTATAAAACAAATGAGTAAGAATTTATCATACTCCGTAACACAAAGCAACTAGAATTTTAGAGTCTAAAACTTGCTAACAGAGTGGTATAAATTCGTATAAATTTGAACCCAAAATCTATACAGTTCCTCTAAACTGCACACAAAACAAAATCTAATTAGAAACCTCCAAAAAGAAAGAATGCGATTGAAAACAACTACGACCTTTCTGAGAAAACTTGGGATTAAACCCGGGATTAAACCCGGGATTAAACCCGGGAAACCTTTCTGAGAAAGAATGCAATACATTTCAAACTCATATACAAAACTCGGGAAAGCATTTGATAAAAGGCTGAAACTCAATGATTTAAGATGGCCATCGATCAGATAATTGTAGTCTGAATTTTATTCGATCGACATGTATGAATTCCGGAAAATTACTCTTCATCTCGATGGCAATAAAACAATAACGGGAACACAAAAATAGAATATGAGCACTTTGAATTTTCAACAACAGAAAAAGTAGAGTAATTAGGCTCAGAAGGATCCATTGGTTTTATAATCACAAGAGAAAACGAGTTTTCCTCTCATAAAATAGGTAGTTATAAACATCACAGCCATTACTCAACCATCAAAACTTAGACAATATAAGAATAATTACAATTCTAAACAAATAAATAAAAGAAGGCAGGATTCGCTGGGGAATTGAGATGCGCCGAGGGAAGAAATTCAGATGCAGAAGACATCGTATGTGGAGATGAATATGAACTCAATATATAGGAAAAGATGCAATCGCCAGGTTTAGGGTTTTGATGATGATAGTGGTGGTCGCTGACTAATCAATGCGGCTTCCCCTCTTTGAAACCCATTGGGCCTTCTCCTTTTACAACTATGCTCCAAATAAGATTGAAATGGAATGTGCAACCAAACCACTAGAGATAGCAATTTCGACCGACCCGTGGGATATTCACACCCGATTTGATCAAAATGGGGAAAACTAGTTTGACCTGGTAATAGGTATCAGATGGTGAATAATCATTTTTTTTAAATGGGTAATGGGGCAATAATGGTTCTATATTAGTCCATCCCATTATCCGCTTCGTTCATTAATGGTTCTATATATAAGTATAATCTATTAATAATACAATTTATTGGGATTTACAATGAATTAATGTTCTCCATTTTTTGAGTGATTTTGAATACAATATCTTATTGGCATTTTATTTTTAATATATGAATGAACTATATCCATCTTAGCAAAACAAATACATTTTTTCCTTTGTATTTTTTATAAACTTTCAAATATGATGGTCCTTGTGCTTTATTTGATGTCGAAAAATGTCCTGCTCCACTTATCTAAAAGTATTGGATAAAAGGTTTTGTTTCCACATTTTCCAATAGTTATTTCATTTGTCATAACGATGAAAAACAGTCAAATACAATCTCTGCATCAAATGAGTATATGTCTTTTAAAATCTATTTTACGTACAATCAATTCCACGTTATCATGTCATGGGTCAACTCAAAAAATGGCTTGAAGACTTTTATATGTGATGATGGGGATCGTCCTATCAACACCACTAATAATGTAGTCTATAAGAAGTTTTTGAAATTTTATGATACTTTTTGTAAAGTATGAACATTTATGATTTTTCTGTTGTATACTTTAAACAGACTCACTAATAATTATACTGATGGAGTATATGGCCCGGGAACACCCGGCCCACAGACTCCTACTACTCCATCGAAGGCCCAACAGGCCCAAATCACAGCGCCCAGCGTACCAAGCAGTCCGCACAACGCGCCAGGGGTGCCTTCGGCCCCCTGGCCGAAGGCTCCAAATTCTCACAGAACGCGTTTCTCAAGCAAATTAAGAAACTGGGAGAAAACGGCGAAAACAGTAGCCCTCGGCACTGTGAGCCCTCAGCACCAGGGTGCCATCGGGTGGAAGAGCCCTCGGCTACTGCTTTATAGCCGAAGGCATCTCACTCGACAAGATATCCGCCTCACATGCGTACAGATCACCGTACCCCGCACAGACGTCCCATCCAACAGCCGCATTAAATGCGGCCACATGCGGCTGCCAGCGCCAACCAGTTGAGGTGACCCCTCGGCCAATAAGCGCTTGACACGTGTCCCTGCCCGGCATTTATTGCTACTACAAATAGCACCCCATTTCCTCATTTGTAACCACGCTGAAAACGGCACTCATACTGAATACACTCTCTCTCTACTTTTATTTACTTGCTCTGACTTCTCTCTAAGTTATTCCCCGTAATAACCCTTCGGATATATACCCCCGGGTAGACTATCCATCATTTGGTGCTCTCGTTGAGAGGTTGAACAATCGAGTAAGAAACCCTCCCCCTCGACCAAACACAAAACACTAGCCCTCTATCAAAATGGTGAGGACAACACGTGCCAACTCATAGAACGTAGAAGACAAGAACCTGGCCCTCGGCGACGTCAACGCCCCCGAAGCCTCTCACAGGGCTCCCGAGGGCGGTGTCATCGCTGGGCTGGAACAGGCGGCTGTCGACCTACGCCTTCAGATCCAACAAAATGCCCCCGATGCCCGCCTCGGCATCGAGGCCACGAAGAAAAACCGGAGCGATGACCAAGTCAGCCCTCCGGTTCTCACCATCGACGTGCAATCGGCGCTCTCCGCCTTCATCCAGACGCTCACCCAGAACCCGGGTGCCTTCGGCACCCTGGCTCCAGCTCACCCTCAGATCGGGGAAAATATCATACTTCCCCCTCTGCCACACCCCTTCGGAAATCCCACCCCTCGGGTGAGAAACGACGAAGGGGTGGTGGCCAAAGAAACGTCCTCCCAGGAAGTTCAGTCCCGGGACCGCCATAATGACAACAGGGAAAGGCCCCGTACTTCCGCCCTCAACCGGCTCGGAGGAGGGCCAGACCGCCGAGGGGTCCCAGACCGCCGAGGGGGGAAAGCACTCCAAAGGCCCCAGGAAAGCGGGGGATCTGTTTCGAGGGCAGACGAGGAGCGTCCCCCTCGGGACAAAGGCAAGGCACCCCTTCATGCCGATGATGCTCGGCACCAAATCAACCAGGCCCACTCGGCCCGGGTTCGTTCGCAGGGGGCGGAGACCCTCCCGAAGGATCCCCGAGACGAGATTATTGCGGCCCTCCAACGCCGGCTTGACGAGATGGAGTCCAACAAAGCTCACGCCACCACCTCCACCCCTCATTCAGATCTCAAATACGAGGTCATGATGGCCAAAATGGAGGAGTTACAGAAGAGGGTTGTAACACCCTAAAATTTAAAGTAGAAGTATAATAATTAAATAAAATAAAAGTAAATCAGATATAATTAAAATGAAATTATTGAATATTTTAAATAACTTGAGGAAAACTGAAAAACGTCAAATGATATTTTAAAAGTACTCTTTGTAAGTCCCAGTCTAAAAAGTGGTGTACAATTTAAGATTGGAAAGTTAAAAATACATTTCGGTTACTATTCAAGAAAAGTATAAAGAATTATTATTAAAGTAATTCTAAGAGCTACGTAGTACTCAAAGTCCGGACATATACATATAGTACTACATACATATCATACATGATATATACATGTATTACATACATACATGAGGCATAAGCTCTACATGATACATCACATACATGCTATGCACATATCCAGTATACACTTACTACGTGTTTCATGCATAACACATGCATGCATATACTAATATACTACGTTACGAACTTTATACATATATATGAAGTACAAAATACTCATACGTTATAATTAAGACATATACTAGTACACCATGATTACATACATATACACCGACGCATGCATACATACTAGAATCAGGCACACATAATACGTTAGTAATAAAAATATTAACAATACTACGTAATAAAGTATTAGTAATATACGTAGTAACGGACCATCATTGATCCATCATTATTAAGATAATAAAGAGCAATTATAACCATAACCCGAACTCAACGGACGTGTAACGTAACATGGGCATATATAACCATTGTCCGGCTGTTCTACGTAAGACCTGAGGGTGTTGTGATCAAAAGCTTGGCAGAAAACGAACATCATATAATTAAGAAAAGGGGTGAGGGAATGAGGGAGTTACGTGTGGGAAGGTAGGAACGGGGGAAACCACAGCGCCGCCGTAGAAGTAGAAGTGGTCGCCGCTGTCCTCGTCTACACCAGAGCTAAATCATCGTTGCCGGATCAAGCTGCTGCCGCCGAACAGTGCTGTCGTGGCACTGCTGCTATCTGAAGGAATACCGCCTGGATTGGGGAGGTCGCCGTTGCTAATCCTCCTTCATCGTTGGTCCACGCTACGGGCTGCAGGACGGAGAAGAAAATGACGGCTACTGTATCGTACGTAATTCTTACTCCGTATTACCATTTTCATTGTTTTGTTTAACTCTTCTGGGCTGCTGAGATTTTATTAATTGGACCGGTATCCTTAAAAACTATATGCTGGGCCGTTTGAGCTAATAATCATAATAGTAATAATAAAATAAAAACAACAATTGGATGGTTAATTTGGAATTCTATAAATGGATTATAATACTGGGGGCTGACTAATAAAATAAAATTTGACTAATTTATTATATAAATATAAATTAATTAATTAATGAATTAAGTCAATATATCATTTGTTATTGATAACTACGGACTAATAAAGGGTAGAGTAAATATTTATAATTTGAATGGATAATGATTTTTAAATGTTGATAATAGAAGGTGATTTGAGTGAGGAGCAAAATAAGAGTCTTAATTAGGAGTACTTGGAGTTTGAGGTAAGTTTCTCTGCCAATCCAAAAATCGTTTCCTCGTATTATATATGTATTATGTGATACGTGATTTTAAGTGTGAAGTATGATTTTTATGCATGTGATTCTGAGATGATTCGTGAAACTAAGTGCTTTTGGGGGTAAATATTTTATCTAAATATTTTTAAAGCAGTTTGAGAAGTTGAGAAATATTTTGCAGTATATTAATTCAAGATAAAAGAATGATTTCATAAGAGGTGAGCATCACGGGAGAAATCCGTGGTGTCGGTTTTCCACGTCCGGATAAATGTGGAGGGTGATTAGGTCTGCTACTACTAAGAAGTACAGTTTGAGTTTAAAGTGATATTTGGATCGATGATCCCTTTTAAGAAGAAGTTATGGTAGTAGTAGTCTCTAGTCATTCAAAATATCTTATTCAGGGGTAGTTGGTAGACTGAGTCCCGACTACTCGTTACGACTTACTACTCGGGGGGCTTGGAATCCCTTTTAGGGGGTGTGCACACTTAAGGTAGTCGTTTCGTTTCCAACAGAGCAGTTGTGGTACCGACACTTGTTCGGGGTGGCCGTCCGTAACCACGGTCCACCGGGCTCTACCGAAAGGTTGAGCACCGCCCTTCTAAATTACTAGGAAGTTAGAGAAGAAGTGATTTTTGAGGAAATCAAAGAGAAGAGTTATTATGAAGTTTTATAGAGAAGTTGAGGATTTTTGTAAAGAAGTAGTCTTGAGATAAATCAAAGTGAAAAGAATTTCGATGGTGTGAGTATTTTTATATATTATTATATAAAAATTCTATTTTTGTCAAACATGAGTATTTTACGGGGTTGGGTAGTACTTACTTAGCTCTAAAGCTAATTTTTGTTATTTTTCTTGTCCCTATCTCCCCCATTAATTTTTAACAGGTGATGAGTTGGATGCTTATGATGATTGATGGATTGCATGCAATTGAGAGCGAATTAGAAGATGCCTTAGTCAAACCTAGTCAAGAAATAAACATTTATTTATTATGACATTAGTTTTATTGT